TGGGTACAAGGATTCGATTGCCAACATGAGACCCACCAGGGCTCTCATTTCCACTGCCAGTACAGCTGACAGCGTCAGAGCTGGGGGCCTCTCCGTCAGCCTGAGTCTCTGACAAAGGTCACATGAAGCAGCTGACCTGCAGTGAGTATGTGGCATAAGCAAGGTCTATTTCCTAGATTCACAGACTTACTTTCCCCATCATATAAACGTAAGCTCTTTTAATGCAGCCGACTGAGGAAACATTTTAAATACTATAAAACACATTAAATTTATGTCATGGGTCCACAACCAGCTTGACCTCTGAAACAGTGAAGTCAATTTTTAAACGTCAAGTTAAAAATAATCAGTTACAGGGGTGCGTGGGTGGTTCAGTTGGTAAGCTTCCCACTCTCCATTTTGGCTTGGGTCTTGATCTCACAGTTGGTGAGTTCAAGCCCCACGTGAGGCTCTGCACTGACAGCCTAGAGCCTGCTTGGGATTCTCTCTCACCCTCTCTTTCTGTCCTTTCCCGCTCACACTCTCTCTCTCTCAAAAGAAATAAAATAAACATTTAAAAAAAAATAATAGTCATTTCCAGTGTAAATAAAGATAGAACACTTAGATTAAAATATATTTTCAAGAAAAGCCTTTGCCTTAATATTTTAAAGAACACAGAAATAGAAATTTTAAAAAAATTAGTTGCATTTGAATCAAGATAAGTAACGGCTTTGTAACAAGTGGCACAATTAAAAGAAGGTGTTTTTTTTAATTTTTCTTTTCTTTTTAAATAGGTTCCATGCCCAATGTGGGGCTTGAACTCATGACCCTGAGGTCAAGAGTTGCATGCTCTACTGACTCAACCAGTCAGGCACTGCTAAAAGAAGTCTTTTTTATCCTTCTCGTTGCATACGTAAATGAATCATGTATAAACACACTCACATGTAATTGTGCAACGTAAGTATTATTAAAGGGTATAATAGAGAAATACTCATTTCTTTAGAGACAAATACCTCACAGTGGCACCTTCAAAGTATAGAACCGGGCTAATCGGCTTTGTTTCCCACTTTCTGAATCTATTATTAAATGCAGATTTTGAAAAACAATTAAAAGCCATAATATCCTTTGCTCTGAAATTGTGTGGACCATAAAAGTTAAATGAGATTTGGTTAATATCAAACAACTTTACCTTTCACATATAGTACAACATAAGCTCTATTCTAAAATCTCAGAGAATTATTACAAGACAACGTTTAGCTTCTTCCAAGCCAAGCAATTTTAGTTGCTTTTAACCATTTTTCCCTAACATATGATTTCAGGGCTATTATGTTATATGACTTGAATCCCCTGCACAGAAATATACATAACTAGATCCTTAACGTATGTTTGAGATTTGTTACCCTTTTCTGGAAGAGCCAATTATTTTCCATGAGGATGAAAAAGATGTTACATTGAAGTCTGTTACTTCAGATGACTAACAGATAAACTACCCAGGCAAGAAGAGAAAATGGAAATAATTGGGTGTTTCTTTCCTTATAACTTAATCTTATAACTCCTATGTAGACAGTACCATCTGAGTGCAGACTGAAGTTAAACTTGTAACAGGCTCTGATATTCGGAATTTCTGTGCTATTTTTATTCTTCAATTTATGTCTAAATATAATAAATAATTTAAGAGATTTACCACCACTTCCTTAATATAAAAAGGAAGAATCTTAAGGAGTTTAATGGGGCAGTGTAGGCAGTAAAAAGATGACACTATGAAAATTAAAATATTGCTGGAGCCACGGATTTAAAAGATTTATAAGTATTCTCTCTTCACCAAGCTTCCCACCAGCCTTTTTTTTTTTTAATCCTACAACACTAAAATTTTGGATCATGTTGGAGACTATAGACCGAAACTTCTCCATAATGATGCCAAGGAAATACAAAAACATCTCCAGATGAGCCCACAGGCAATTCCAATATCCAGGTATAAACCTCATTTATTATTTTTTTTAAGAGTGGACTTTTCCAATGGGAGAACACACTAACACAATTTGAGTAAGTACCTACATTATCACCATTCCAGTTCACATAATGTGTCTTTGCAAAGAGTCCTAAAAAGTCATCACAAACACACTATTAGACAGGCTTTTGGTCCAGAAACCACATGCTCAACCAGACTATGAGAAACCTTATTGCAGATAGGGCATATGCTTGACAAAGCCATGGATCACCAGCTGGGCCCTGCTTCCTCAAGGAAGCTCCAGCTGTGTGACATTATGGCATCCTTCCAAGGGCAAGGGTTCCCTCCAGGCCATCAGAGAATCAAAAGAGTGTAGGCCCCTTGTGGTTGAGTTGACCCATGTAGTCCCATGCAGACATGTGCTGTGAGTACATGTTGTGAGTTGGCCTAGCCTGATAACTTCCCCACAATTGTTCTTCAGTGTCCTTTAAGACTCCCCCACAGCCCAGTTTGTAGATTGCTGGTCACTTTGATTTTACTTTTTTTTGATGATACAATATTCAGGTTCCACAACTATTAGGAATCCATTCTGTGCCTCTTTTGACCTTAGGTAATGTAAACCTATTTCCTTTCTAACCTTCTTAAAAGACGTTTAATGGAATTTTGAATTTTTCCTATTGCAAAAATTCTTAGGCTTTTGTCAAAGGAGATTTGAAATACCACATGAAATGATGCACTCACATCCCTCACCACCACCTCCAAATAACTGAATTACATAAATAAAACATTACATAGAAAGTGCTTTGCTACAATTTATGGGAGGTAAATTTAACAAGAACTGGCTCATTGTAGGAAAATTCAACTTATCTTTTCCTGATCTTTTTATTCTATACAGGAAAAGAAATTTATGTCAGCTTAAAAAAAATCTATTACTGCTTCTCATAACTGAATCCATTATTTTTCTCTATGATCCATCAGGCAAAAACAAGAATAATAGATTGCTTTGACAGAACCTTGAACATAAATGTCTCTAAGAATCAAATGTAGTAAGTAAAATGGGTTTCAGGTGTTATTAAAACAAGAGAGGATAAACTCCTTTATATGTTTCAAAATCAGATCTTACTTAGAAATTTATGTAAGACAAATTATATAGTAGTTGAATTTTCACAATTAGACTCTGACTTTAAATAAAGTTGTCTTATACATAGTCAATTGATTTAAATAATTAGTGCTGACCTTAGCTTACAACTATTTTCTATTTATAAAAAAGTCAAAAGTCTCTATTATTGTTAGCTCTACATGACCCATTTTAGTTTCAGAGAAGTTTGAATGTCTGTATATACACCTACTTAAGTCTCAGGGGATTTTCTCCTTAATGGATACCTACCCAGCATCTAATTTTATTCAGATAAGTCAACCTCCCAACTTGTCTCCAGAAAAAATGGTCACATTCCCAGTTTGAGTGGCACAACTTCTGCCAAGCCAATCAGCACATAACATTTACATTAAGTCTATCATTCATCCAGGGAAGGGCATATGACCCCGATTTGCCTGAACATAAAAAGAATGGTTTTTATGCACGCTAAAAATGCATAGAGAGATATTTCCCATTTTCTGGATGAGGAGAAAAGAACGGGGAGCCCCAGCTGCTACCAAGCCATCTGTGACTATGAGAATGAGGACAACGCTGGTGACACAGGAGAGGATGGGAATAACATGAGTCCTGTCAACATCGCTAAAGTGCTAGCGGTCAGATACCTAGAGCCCTCTCTACCTCCAGCCTTCCATTTGGAGCTCACACATAGTGCTTCATCCACTTTGAATGTGGGTTTCTGTGATGGTTTAAATATGCTCCTCTTCTGCTTTAAAGATGAGAAAATATACTCAAAATCTTGTTTCCTCATGGCTTGTTTCATTCATATTACTTTATGGCAGAAGATCTTTGTATATCTCCTTGATTTTGAAACTACCTTTGAGAACCCTCCCTCATCATCTAATGAAGCACAAAATTTGATACACCCATTGCTTAAGAAGACAGTAACATTCTTACAAAGGTTAATGCCATTTAAGATGAGTAAAACCCCTTTTGTCTTACCAGACAAAAATACAGTTTCATAACCAAGGTCAGACATTATTTCTAGCCTCTAGATCTAAAACCAAGCTTGACCTATATTGTAGTCAGTTTAAAACTCCAGCCTATATGTCAAAGGCCCATTTTTAAAAAATTATTCAGAAACCCAAGCTATAGCAATCCTACTACTCTCTTCTCATTTTCCTAAACTATTTTATACTTATTTCTCGATTTCGCGGGCTATTAGATGTTTCTCACCTATTTCCAGAGATAATAACTCATCTGCCTTGCAATCTGATTCTTAACATTAGGAGATTAAAACTAACGTAGATGATTCTCAGATGACACATACTGAGGTAAAGAAAAATCCCATGATTTCCTTCTACAAAATGAGAGAAATTTTAATTCTTTTTCTCAACAGCTGCTTCATTATTTTATGCATAGGAAAAAAAAATATGTGCAATTACTCCAAGTACAATCAAGTCATTTAACATGGCTTTACCATCATTGTAGTTACAGGATATTTTAAAAGAGAAAAAAAAATCTCAAAGCACAGGACCTGCTGTGCAGCAAAGCAATCAGATTCCTTCATAATAACATCCTGATGGGATTTAGCAAACCGAGGAATAATGAATAACCACTTTAATCAGTAAACAGGAAAATGCTACAACAGTCACTGAGTAAAAATTGACTATCATCTGTTGATCCTCTTGATAGGTGATTCAAACAATAAATACAAATGTAAGTATTTTTAAAAAAGAAAAATAACTGGATTTAGTGTGCTTGATTTTGCCAGACAGTGATAAAATATCATCATAGACTGTCCAGCAGTGTGGGCCAGTCGATAAAATGAACATATAATCTTTTTCATAATACATGGCCAAGTTGACCCTATCACTTGAATGTGTCAAGGTAAGCTCTTTTCACAGTTGATTAATAAGCTTTATTTCTGGACTGATTATTGAACTTTTTTGCTACTTCATTATTTAATGTTCCTTTCTGTGTTCATCTTATGAAGTTATTTGCCTCTGAATATGAAAATACTGTTTCGTAATAGTCTTCAAGTTTCCAGTGCAGTGCCTCAAAGGTTGGCCGTTCTTTAGGCTCTCCATTCCAGCATTCCAACATGATGCTGTAGAATTCTTGTGGACAGTTAGGTGGTTGAGGGAGTCTGTAGTTTTGACCCAACAACTGGATTACCTGAGCACCTGTCATGCCTAAATAATACAGAATGGGACCAACAAAAAACAAGTTAAAGATCAGGGTCTTAAATTCATAGATAATTATACTCCAGATTACAAAGCAAACTGATTTCCTTGGTGAGACTATGAGGTCTACCATCCCCTTCCCAGACTGCAGAGATTAAACTAAATCTTGCAGCAAATAATGTCTATAAGACTGCAATTTAAGAGCAAAGGATACAGAGGCAATAAACCACCTCATTAATGCAAATCATCGTCATCAAATTTTATCTATTATGCTCCCACAGGCACATGGTGTGGTCAGCCTCATAACTCTGCCCTCTAAGCCTGGGCAAAGCAGTTAAAGTCAAACCTAAGTAAGTGACCTGCAGCAGAAAGGCCCATTTCAGGATTAATTACTCACCACTATAAGGTATTTTGCCATAAGTAATGATTTCATAAAGAAGGATTCCAAATGACCACACATCGGACTTAATGCTGAATATATTAGCACGAATGGCTTCAGGTGCAGTCCACTTCACTGGCAGCTTTACTTCGTGTTTGGATTCATAGATGTCTTCATTATCTACCTGTTAATGCATTAAGGAATCAAGCCACGTTCCAGTGATATATATATATATTTTTTTTCTACCCTCATTCATCTGTAAACTGCTTCACATTAAAATTTAGAGGGAAAAGATTCAAAATGAGCTTAGGTCAATTGATGATTACAGTAGCAAATTCCAAATCTGGCTTATAAGACTGAGGAATCTATGAGAAGTCATTAATGCAATGTCATATAAGGGCCTACTATGTGCTAAAAATAGCATTGGCAGGACCACTCTACTACATATGAGAGAATTCATGTGCGATGGTATTTAGCAACCGGTCTTTAGCAAATAAAAAAAGAACAATAAAAAAATAATGAAAGCAAAGCCTGTCTGTTTTCAAACTTACTGCTGGTTTTGAAGAGCCACCGAGTTTAATAATTACCACATTACCACTTTTTAATACTGAAAAGTAGGATCCAAATGATTTAAATTAATATATCAACTCACTGGGGTTCTAATTAATTTATCAAGAAAAGAGATGATGAATTCATGAAGATCAAAAAAGAATCACTTGTATGTTGTGTTTCATGTTCCACATCCATATTTTTAGGGCACAATGTAGAAATTGAAAATGAGGAGAAAAACACCTAATACTATATCTCTTATATAAGTTTCTTTTGGCCTGATGTCATGAAATGAGGGGAGGGGCGGAATTAAAAAGCCAATGATTACTGAAGAATTTTGGCAGCATGAAATTTTAGTTGGCATAAAGTAAGCAAAGGGGGATGGGGTAACTGTAGAAAATGTGATGCCTTTTGTAAGGAAAACAGAGACAGACAACCAGAGGCTTCCTGGTACTGAAAAATGGATCATTAATTCAACCACAAACTTAATCACATACTTTCCCATCTGGGTGGGCATCATTTTCTCTGTTTTTTTTTTTTTTTTCTCCTTGGTGAAGAAATAGAAACAGGAGGTAGTTTATCTGTAAGGCTTTAGGCTACCCCACAACTGTGGACAAAGATTGTGGACCACACAACTTGGACAAAGATTATTTTGAAGAATAACAGCAAATCTATTAGACTACTAGTATGTTAGTCTTTTAACCCATGACAAAACCTAAATAGAACAAAACAAAATTCACCTTAAAAACCCTTGCAAGTCCAAAATCTGCAACTTTGTAGATATTATGTTCACCAACAAGGACATTTCTGGCAGCCAGATCTCTATGGATGTAGTTCTGGGACTCCAAATAAGCCATTCCAGAGGCAACCTGTGCTGCCATGTCTACCTGCTGGGTCAGGTGGATTTTTGTTCCAGCATCATCTGAGCAATAAGAGAAAGTCAAAGGTTTACTTTGGAGAACATTTGAATTATTAAAGTGAATTCTGAGAATTATGATGAATGAGCTACCAGTGGGCTTAAGTGCCATAGCACCGATCTGTTGAGCAAGAAACATAATACAAACTATTCATTTCCTGCGAAGGGCAACAATTTTCAGAGTCCAAACACATTCCAAGGCTGTGGCCCTTCCTCCCCTAAAGGAACATTACACTGAGAAAGAAACAGCAGTATCACATGATTCAAACACAGCTATAAATACCTGAAAGAGTCCAGGTATTGTCATTTTCCGTAGCACGCACCACTGACTCATCTCTTCATGGAAATTATTTACTTGGTTGCCTCTAGATTTCCTTCAAACATTGCACAGTTTGTTTTAGTCCTTGACGCTATAAAATAATACTAATTTGCATGGCTGAGCCAATGAAAATTTCTCATTCTTCCATCATATTGTTCTTAGAAATTAGTTCAGTAACAAAAATGAAGACTCTATCAGTAGTTATAAAATGTGTGTGTTACATTTGTACTTCATTAAGCTTGATGCACTTTTTTCATTTCCCTTTTTAAGCCCGTTAATCCTAGAGATGGTTTGCTCATCTCTCCAGGCATGGACATGCCTTTGATAGACACAGTTTCTCCCACTACTCATAATCAGAAAATTATGCAGGAGAGTCAGTTTGGCCATTAGTAGAGAGGTTAGTTTTACTATGTGGGGACTTTGTGCAAGGCGGTCAGCCATCCTGGATACTGTTTAGCTGCTATACTGGTTAGTAGATGTCTTCAGATTTCTGGAGAATTAAAAGGTCTCATATAAATCCAAACTATCATCATCCCTGACCGAATAAGCCAAATATTACCAAAAGTGTGTTGGATTCATGGTCAAGAGTCTTAGGCACAACTTCTGACTTGAGAGACAACTGTAGCTCAGGTGTTGGAAAACTGGCTTGAAGTTAGAGTACCAGAATCTGGATCAGGGCTTTCACAGGGCTCACATTTCTTCCTAACCTTAGGCAAGCCGCTTAACACTCCCGTGCCTCAGTGTTTCCATCTATATTGTGGTAATTGTAATTACCTTATGGTATTGGTTGTTAAAATGAGTTAATACATGTAAGGCACTTAAAGCAGAGCCTGGCACCTAGAAAGAACCAGGTAAACCCTACCTGTTTTTATTCTCATTGCTGCTGCCTGAATGGAATTAAACAGTTTAAGCTTTGTCACGGTAGAGATACATACACATTACTCAAACGGAAAAGTCTAAATGAAGACATGCACAAGGGTCTGGAGCTCAGGAGAGAGCACGCAGCTAAAGATGTCAACTTAACAATCACAGTTGATGAGTAGGAATTAAACATTAAAAGTGGGCGAGACAGCTGGGAAGTGACAGAATCATGAGAAACATCAACATTTAGGGTGGGCAGAGGAAGATAAATCTGCACGAAAACTGAGAGGAATCAGTTAAAAGAATGAAAGAAGAACCAGAAGAGAACACCCTAACAGTCAAAGGTTTTGAGAAGGTCACCACCATTGCCAAATTCCACAAGTAAGTCCAGCAAGGTAAGAACTGAATGCCTTAGTGGCAGGATGAACAACTTCACTGGAGATGGGGGACAAGGGGTTGAGGGCAGAACAGAAGCTGAGGACATGGAAACAGCAGGAGGAGATGTCAATTTCCAAACCCTAGTCAAGAAAGGAAGACAACAAAAGATTGGCAGTTGGCAGAGGAAAGTGTGAACCATGGGAAAGTGATTATCAGGAAATTCATGACTGTGAGGGGCTGTCAATGATATGGGACTTAGGGGTTTCTGGAGTGCTAGCCATGTTCTCACTCTTGATTTGTGCAGTGGCTATACCATTATTTACTTGCTCACTCTTAAGTAATGATAAATTATGCTCTATGATGTGTGCTCTTTCTATAATGTATGCTATCTTTCCAATAAAAAATGAAATAAACAGAGTTGAGGAGATTTTTTTTTTACGGTGAAGACCTAAGCACAGTGTGTGTATGCGTATGTGTCGGTAAATACATATTTATTTTTTAATGCAAGCAGCATATTTATTTATTTATTTATTTTTATTTTATTTTATTTTTTAGAGAGGGAGAGAGAGACAGAGAGCACGCGCAAATGAGAGGGAGGGGCAGAGGAAGACAGAGAGAGAATCTTAAGCAGGCTCCACACTCAGCATGGAGCCCAACGTGGGGCTCAATTCCACAGCCATGAGATCACGACCTGGGCTGAAATCAAGAGTCAGATGCTTAAATAAATGAGTCACCCAGACACCCCTGCAAGCAGTATATTTAAATAGGATATGCGGTGAAACTAACTTCTCACTGATCCATTTGTCCTCTTCTTCCTGGGCAAACACAGAGGACTATATTCCCCATCTTCCCTAGCAGTTAAATTGGATCATGCCACTAGTTCCGTGCACTGCAATGCGTGCAAGAGAGGATGTCCGTCACTTACAGGCCTAATCCTTAAAATCTCCCGCAGTTTTGTAGCTAGAAGAAATAAATTTTGAAATGGCAGAGCCACACGATGAAAGGAGTCTAAATCCCTACATCACCATCTAAGGCGTGCCACTCAGAAGAGCAGTGTGATGCATATCAAAAATGCATATTTTTACAGCAATGTGCAGAATGAACCTGGACCACTTTCTTACACCGCACACAAAAATAAACTCAAAATGGATGAAAGACCTAACCATAAGACAGGAAGCCATCAAAATCCTAGAGGAGGCGGGCGCCTGGGTGGCTCCATCAGTTTAGTGTCCGGCTTTAGTTCAGGTCATGATCTCATGGTTCATGGGTTCAAGCCCTGCGTCAGGTTCTGTGCTGACAGCTCAGAGCCTGGAGCCTGCTTCAGATTCTGTGTCTCCCTCTCTCTCTGCCCCTCCCGCATGTATGCTCTGTCACTTTCTGTCTCTCTCAAAAAAAGAAAAAAAATTTTTTTTATTTTTTAAATCCTAGAGGACAAAACAGGCAACAACCTCCTTGATCTCGGCCACAGCAACTTCTTACTTGACGTGTCTCCAGAGGCAAGGGAAACAAAAGCAAAAATGAACTATTGGGACCTCATCAAGATAAAAAAATTCTACACAGCAAAGGAAACAATCAGCAAAACTAAAAGGCAACCAACGGAATGGGAGAAGATATTTGCAAATGACATATCTGATTAAGGGCTAGTATCCGAAATCTATAAAGAACTTATCAAGCTCAACACCCAAAAAACAAATAGTGCAGTGAAAAAATGGACAAAAGAGATGAATAGACACTTTTCCAAAGAAGACATCCAGATGGCCAACTGACATATGAAAAAATGCTCAACATCACTCATCATCAGGGAAATGCAAATCTAAACCACAATGAGATACCACCTCACACCTGTCAGGATGGCTAAAATTAACAACTCAAGAAACAACAGATGCTGGTGAGGATGCAGAGAAAGAGGAACCCTTTTGCACTGCTGGTGAGAATGTAAACTGGTGCAGCCACTCTGGAAAACAGTATGGACGTTCCTC